AGAGGATTCTCGCTTTGTTGCCCAGGCCATGCAGTGGGATGATCTCGGCTCACTACAACCTCTGCCTCCTGGGTTCAAGTGATTCTCTTGCCTCAGCCTCCCAAGTACCTGGGACTACAGGAGCATGCTGCCACACCTGGCTCATTTTTTTGTATTGTAGTAGAGTTGGGGTTTCACTGAGTTGCCCAGGCTGATCATGAACTCCTGAGCTTAGGCACTCCACCACCCTTGGCCTCCAAAAGTGCTGGGATTACAGGTGTGAGCCACCGCACCCAGCCTACTATACCTTGTTTTAATTTTAGAGCTTTATATTTTACATAATTATAAAACAAAATTAAATTTAAGAGAGTTATTCTTAAAAATCACGAACAAGATTTCTGCCTCCTGCCAAAAAGGTATAACAGGGACTACATTTACCTTCCTGTCAAAAAAAGCAGACAAAACATATAAAACAGTGGTTTTCAGACACTGGACAACAGGCATTGCCGATAATGATCGCTGAAAGAAAGGAAACAGATGAGCCCTAAGAGCGCTCCAGCTTACCACCTCAGTGGAATTTCCAGGCTGCAGACAGAGCCTGGAGATGTTGTTGAGTTGAAGAAACAAAGTTCATCTTTCAAGGAGGCTGAGATGGCGATAATTTTGCAGGTCAGAGTACTGAAGAGGAAAGATCTGCACAGAGAACTCTCTGGGGATCTGCAGAGACTTGCTCATGAGTCAGCAGCTGAGTGTTGATCATATTTGTGTGAGGAGACTACTGGAAGTCAGGGAAAGAATCACGGGAAAGCAGCAGACAGAACAATTCCCAGAGCTCGTACAGGAAGATTAATGTTCTTGCCAGTCTGTTTGGAAAGACCTCTTAACATGACAGGCATTGAGTAGAGTCCACAATAATGGGATCAGATTAATCCTATCACAAGAACTGGAACCAGAGGTCAAAAAAAAGAAAGAAAATTCTAGACTAACGGCTATTCTGGACCAGCCTAATGAAGCTTAAAAACAAGTTTTGAACAGATTAAACTATTTCCAAGTTACTGAAATATATCCTAGAACAAGCCCTTAAATATTTAAGGGAATTTAAAAAATCCAGCACAAAGCAAAATTCACAATGTCCGTCAGCTAATCAGAAATTGCCAGGGATGCAAAGGAAAATATGATCTATAAAACAGAAAAATCACAGAATGGAAACATACCCAGAAATAACCCAGTTGATAGAATTAATAGACAAAGGGTCAGGTGCAGTAGCGCATGCCCATAATCCTAGCACTTTGGGAGGCTCAGGTGGGTGGATCACTTGAGCCCAGGAGTTTGAGACCAGCATAGCTGATGTGACGAAAACCATCACTACTAAAAATACAAAAATTAACAATAAAGATAAAAAATTAAAAAAATTAAAAAAAAAACAACAAAAATTAGTCAGGTGTGGTGGCATAATCTGTAATAACCTGTAATAATCTGGCATAACCTGTAATCTCTGCTACTTGGGAGGCTGAGATATAAGAATTGCTTGTACCCAGAAGGTAGAGGTTGCAGTGAGCCAAGATTGTGCCATTGCACTCCAGCCTGGGTGACAGAGCAAGACTCTTGTCTCAAAAA